GGGGGTAAAAGGGGGCGGGGGTCGGTGGGAGGGCCGGGCGGGAGCCGGCCTGGTTTACAAAACGAGAGGGCCTGAAAGCACGCTGCGCTTTCTAGTGGGAGTCGGGCTGCAGTCTGCGTGGTTCCGGAGTTTGTTTCTAGGACCAAATAGCCCCAGCAGCCCTGCCGAGTGTGCTGCCCTTCAACACTAGTGGAGACTAATTCCTAAAAATGCCCGGGGTCATACCGAGCGATGCTCCCCGCGTGTCGACTTCGCCCAGCTGTGTGCCTTTCCCTCCACTTTTAAAGACGGGCATTGCCTTGGGATCCCTTCCCCCTCACCATCTGCTTCCCAGATTACCTCTACTTCAGGGAAGGAAGGACAGAAAGCAATATTTTGTTTGGTAAATCCGCCATTTTAGCCAGACCTGTATGTTTGCTCCACCCTGGAGCTAAAGTTGCGAATCAATACTTTCCCCTAAACTTATTCCTTGATAAGTTTGTAGTTCCAATCAGTCCTATTTATAGCCTTTGTAGTAATGGCTGTGGCAAACCGGTTCACCTTTATCTTGGATTACTCAAGCTACTACTTATCTGGGCTTTACCTTAAGTTTATTTTTCCTAACGGAGTTATTTGGGAGTAAAAGCTGAGGGGCGCGGAGCAAGAAGGCAAATTTCTTTTTAAATCCTTTTTAGGTTGCACCTCTTAAAGACCTTTCTATAAACGATGAACATGTCGCCGTTGGTCCTTCATGGAAAGCAACCAGTAAACAGCCGGCCTTCACTATTCATGTGGATGAAGAAGAGGAGACTCAGAAAATGCCAGCTGAACATAAAGAAACACAGTGTGAAGATGCCCTGGCTTTTAATGCTGCTGTCTCTTTACCTGGAGCAAGAAAACCACTGGTACCTCTTGATTATCCAATGGATGGTAGCTTTGGTAAGGTTTTGCTTTTTATTTTTGAGACAGGGTCTCAATCTGTAATTATGGCTAGTCTTGAACTCAAATCATCCTGCCTCAGTCTCAAATTCTAGATTACAGGCCTATGACTCCATACCCTGCTTGGTAATTTTTAAAGATCTTTATGAAACTAAGAAAATAATTACATCATTGAGTTAGTGATACTTCTAGTTTTAAGACTATGTCATTTTGTTTTGTTTTTCTAGACAGGGTTTCTGTTTTGTCCTGGAACTAGACTTGTGGACCAGGCAGCCCCTCTCTCTGAGTGCCATGGTCACGCCCGGCTAAGACTGTCATCCCTGGTCATAACACAGTGGGTTAGGATTACTGCATTGGACTTAGAAGGGTATCTTAGATCTCATGGCTAATACCCAGACCTACTGACCTCAAAAAGAACTCATCCTTAACAGGCAGGAAGGGCACTGCAAGCTATCAATTTTAATTAGATCTCAAATGGTTATTTTAATCTGACTTCATAAATGTTTGGTTTGGAGAATAAATTTCAGTTGTATTTATGACTCACTTAACATGCCACTCCTGAGAGTGCTGCTTGAAGCTACAGTTTTAAGCATTATAGTATCTGCCACCCCTTTAAAATCAATTTGAATGTTCATCTGGTGCAGGTCAGGCACAAATGCACAAGGAAGACAGAGCAGCAGCTGCAGAAAGCTTTGCTGTTGTGATCTCACTGTGTGGAGACCACAGGTGTAGTAATTATCTATCAGGATGTTGGTATTTATCACTCTCCACCTTATGCTATGTGTGTCAGGGGGAGGGGTATGCTTTCGGGGCTGGTACGTGTGGAAACCAGAGGTGTACTTGACTTTGGGATATCTTTAACTACTTTTCCATCTCATTTCTTGATAAAAAGGTCTCATTGGAGGTCACTGGTTTGGCTAGACTGGTGGCCATCAAGCTCCAGGAAACTGGCTATTCTCAGCCCTCTTTCCTTCCCTGTCTCAGGGTTACAGATATGCCACATCTAGCTTCTGTGTGGTTCTGGGCAACCCACATCTTCATGCTTGTGTAGCAGGCACTGTACCAAGCCATTTCCCCAGCCCCCTTTAGTTTATTTAGTTCTACTGGTGGGGAAGAAGGGTATAGAAATAATTTATTTTTATATAAATCTTGTAGCTTTTTCTTAACTCAAGGTGCTCTGAAAAAAATGGAAATCCTTTACCTCAAAAAATAATTTAAATGGTAAAAATTACAACTGAGTGTAATTCATATACATCTAATAACTAGTGAGTGTAATTCATGCCTGTAACTAACATGCAGGACACTGAGGCAGGATTGCCAGCCTGGGCTACAGAACAAGACTCTGTTTTCACAAACACCATACCCCTAACAGATTACAGTTAGTCTGTTTGAATGCATGTGACAAACTTGCTATCTTTACTGACACTGACGTTTGTTAATATGGCATTTAGCTGATTCTCTTGTTACTCCCTGATTGTGATTTGAATGTCAGCCTCTGGGATCTATAATCTCTTTTAAGACAAAACAATAAGTATTCTGTCCTAACAGAACCACTGTACCATCTATTCATCATTTGTGGAAAATAATATTTAAGGTAATTTTAAGTCTTAGTAGCCTATTGATACTATTTTCTAATATATATATCATATATATATATCATATATATATGATCTGTGTTGCTTTGCCAGAATGGTCTTTTTAGTTTGGTTTTAATATCATACACAGAATCACCACATGCTATGGACATGTCTATTGTCTTAGAAGACGAAAAGCCAGTGAATGTTAATGAAGTACCCGACTATCATGAAGATATTCACACATACCTTAGGGAAATGGAGGTAAGGCTCTGTTCATTAAAAATGACTAAATAAAATTGAAAGGATAATGTTGACATCTAATAACTAGTGAGTTATTCTAATGCTAAACTTAAGCTTGTGAATAGTAAAGTAACTTAATTGTAGTTTTAACACCACTGAGTTTTTCTTCAGGTTAAATGTAAACCTAAAGTGGGTTATATGAAGAAGCAGCCAGACATCACTAACAGTATGCGGGCCATCCTTGTGGACTGGCTAGTTGAAGTGGGAGAAGAATATAAATTACAGAATGAGACTCTGCATTTGGCTGTGAACTACATTGATCGGTTCCTCTCTTCCATGTCTGTGTTAAGAGGAAAGCTTCAACTTGTGGGCACTGCTGCTATGCTGCTAGCTTCGTAAGTACAGCCAATTTAGTTCAAAGTCATCATTTACCACACCCCTGCTCTTATTTATACTTTTTCCCTGTGTATGTGTAGCACAGGTATACAGTACCTGCTGAGACCAGAAGAGGGCGCTGGATCCCCAGACTGGTGTTAAAGACAGTTTTATGAACCACCGTGCTGGTGCTGGGAATCAAATCTGGGTCTCAGCCTGTGCTCTAACCAATGAGCCATTTCTCCAACCCCACTTAATATCTTAAGGTGGGGGGAATAAATTAAGATTTCCAGCTCTCAACATTTTAACACTGACAGCTTTAGGGACAAAAGATATCCCTGGTCTGGGGGAGCTTCTGGAAGTAGAGGAGGAAACTTGTTTTCTGGCCTATAATATAAAATTTTCTAAATCTGGGTTTCATGTGTCTTGAATGGGCACAGACCATCCACGTTTTAGCAGGTTAGATCATCACAGAGTTTAAAAGGTTAAAAAAAAAAAAAAAAAAACTCTTCCACAATAAAGGATTTTTTTTAAGACAAAGCCTGCTTTTGAAAAAAAAAAAAAAAAACTCACTTAAAATTTCTTTTGTTGTAGAAAATTTGAAGAAATATACCCCCCAGAAGTAGCAGAGTTTGTGTATATTACAGACGATACCTATTCCAAGAAGCAGGTTCTGAGAATGGAGCACCTAGTATTGAAAGTCCTTGCTTTTGACTTAGCTGCGCCAACAGTAAATCAGTTTCTTAACCAGTACTTTCTGCACCAGCAGCCTGCAAACTGCAAAGTTGAAAGCTTAGCAATGGTAAGTTCGTTTTATGGGTTCTTTTTTTTTCTTTTAGGTTGTAATTTGCCCTGGTTTTGTGGTATAATGCTGCTCATTAAGTATTGGTATTAATAATTAATAAGATTAAGTATTTTCAGGCAGTTAATGTTCCAATACCCAGAAAAACCTATAGCTAGCAGAAGATAGAGACACACAGTTGTCCTATCTGTGGGTTCTGTGCTTATGGAACCAGCCAATAAATATTAAAGGTAACTGCCTGTGTACTGGATAAGTATAGCTCTAAAAACACAGTGCAACTATATACTTACTGTTTATTAGGTATTATAAGTAATTTAGTAATATTCTAGGTATATAGCACCTAGAATGGTGAAAATGGTGTATCTTTTATATGTCAGGTACTTAAATATTTGGTGTCTCTGAGAAGGGGCTAATAGTCCAGGAGAGAACTTCCAGTGGATACCCAGAAGTAACCATGCCAGAAAAACACTTAACTAGTGGTTAAAAGAGAACATCCTGATAGATATTTTTTTAAGTTCTAAGGGGGCAGAAATGTAAGCTGAGGATGGAGCAAAACATTGGAATAATTTTCCTGGGGCTGATACAGAACCAGGGAGCATCACAAAAAGGGAAAATGGGTCAGGATGCAAAGATTCAAAGTCTGAGTCTTAGAGCTTTTATGAGTATAGTTTTTTGTTTTTTTCATTTCAGTTTTTGGGAGAATTAAGTTTGATAGATGCTGACCCATACCTAAAGTATTTGCCATCACTCATTGCTGGAGCTGCCTTTCATTTAGCACTCTATACAGTCACAGGACAAAGCTGGGTACGTATTACAGTTGCTGGTTTGGTTTGGGCAGAAAGCTTAGCTGTAAGCTTGAATTTGAAAGCTCTGCTTCAAGAATCTGGGCCAACTGCCTGCTGCTAGCAGGGGAAGTAGTCAAACAGTCAAAATAAAAGATGGCATGAGCTTGAACATGTTAAAGATGAATGCCAACCTTAGGTCAACTGTAAGTGCATTCATTGGTCAATGCCCTGTGCTGTTACTAAAAACTCAATGGTTGTCTTTTCTCTGTAGCCTGAGTCATTGGTACAAAAGACTGGATATACCCTGGAAAGTCTTAAACCTTGTCTCATGGACCTTCACCAGACCTACCTCAGAGCAGCACAGCATGCTCAACAGTCAATAAGGGAAAAGTACAAACATTCAAAGTAAGAATCAGATTCTCATTCATTTAAAGGGTATGGTAATCTGCCACAGCTGCCTCAGTAAGGTAAATGTGTTAGGAAGCTATTGTACCTGGCATTTCCCCCTTTCATCTGGTAGGGTATGGGTAAGGTAACACACGTTTTGAGTCTAATCAAATAGAAATAGCATTTCCCTAGGCTGGGGCATATAAACTGTTCTGTGATCTCCCCAATGAATATTTACTAAAAAAAAATTTTTTTTCTGCTCAACAGATACCATGGTGTTTCTCTTCTCAACCCACCAGAGACACTAAATGTGTAAGAATGAAAGACTACCTTTGTTTAAAATGGGAGTTCACAATGTACAGTTTTGTCTTGGGTTTTAATCTCACAAATCATTTCACAATGTAGATGGTATAGCCACGGACAAATTATGGTATCCATTGCTTTTTAAATGGTTTTAATTTGTATATCTTTTGTACATGTGTCTATCTTAGATATTTGGCTAATTTTAATTGGTTTGTTAACATTTGGTGCTGCCAACTGTCAGGATAATAAGAATAAATTGATTTGGAAATCTTTGCAAGTCAAAGTTAATTTGAGATAAAAATAAGACTGATAATGTCACTTAGAAAGGCTAACTTGGTTTATTGTTCAGTGGGGGTAGAAAAAGCTTCCTAAAACTGAAATATTTCAGGGAAACTGATCTTCAAATTCTGACATTGGTTATTCTAAGCAACTGAACCAATTGCTGACTTGGTCATAAAATAAGCAAAAACTAGATTCTTCAGTGTAGCAGAGACTCCCCAGACTCATTCAGTTCTACTTTTACAAATAAGATTTTACATGTATTAGGAAGATTTTGTGCAACAGAAAAGTTGTACAGAAAGTTTATTCAAAGCATAATGTTACAGACAAAACAATTTATGAAACAGTTCAGCTCTTATAATGGATTTTCAAATAAAAAAATACCCAGTGCTGTTAAAGCACTGAATAAATATCCTTTTAGTAGTTTTATATATATATACACACAAAAATATCATTTTAGCTTTAATTAGCAGTTCTCTTCTTTTTCCTCCTTTTCACTTGACTTTTACTTGGTGCCTTTTCTTTTGCATTGGTGGTCTGAGCTCTGCGAAAATAAAGTAATACCACAACTCAGTGTATGTCCACTGAATCCTGGACTGGATCGCTGGAACTTTAAAGGCAAAGGCATCCTGTTTTACAGACATAAGTCCTATTTTTATGTATATTTGAAAGTAACCAGAAATCTGTTACCTTATTTTCTTTGGGTTCTTGTCTGGTTCCAAAATGATCATTTCTTCTTCTTCGCTATCTGACAGCACTATAGGGGCACCTTGGAGAAAATACCGAAAGTAAAAGTAACTACTTATTAGTATCATTAGTCTGAATGCTCCCATTTCCATGCACACACAGCTCAAGCTCTGCTGCCTGGAGGCAGCATATACAACATACTCTTTCCAAAAATTTTGTAAAAAATACATGTTTTTTGTAGTTTTTGTTTTTGTTTTTTTTTTTTTAAGAGGACTCACGTAGGCCAGGACGGTCTAGTTTATTACTACCAGGGCTAACCATGAAAAATGTAGAGAACTTTTGTTTGCCCATTTTTGTCTTGAATATTAATTATATATATATGTAAATAAAGCATGCAAATTAATCATTTGCCTATTTTGGCTGTGTATTCTTGTCTCAGCATTCTTTATTCACATGCTTTAGAAAAACTCTACCATCATCATCCTTGTTATCTTAGCTGTTCATGAGCCTTACTAAATCTTAGGCAAATAGATATATACACAAGTGTAAAGACACTAGCCAGTGATAGTGAGGTAACAGCATTATTGATGGTTAAGACAACTGGATACAATGAATGGTATAAAACTCACCCATTAACCTAATTAAACCAACATTGTTCCCCTGTCAAAACAAAAACCAAGTCTATAAGCAATGATTCTCTTTCATGAAGACAAGTAGAATATGCATTAGTTCAGAGTGCATACTTCTCTGGTAAAGAACCTGAGTTCAGTTGCCAGCACCTACATATGGCAGGTCGCAACTTCCTGGAACTCCAGCAAGTTCTCTGACATCTATATGCATACCCTGGCACACATTTCTTTTTATGGCTTTTGGACCACAGCAAGTTAGACCTTCAAGGGACTTCTAACCTAAAGATAGTCACTGCTACCAATGTGGCCAATTTTGTGTGCATCTGTGTAAGTATACATGTGTGCTGGTCTCCACAGACCAAAAGATGTGTTGGTTCCCTTGGAGCTGGAATACAGAGGGTTGTGAACCATCCAGTGTGAGTACTGGGATCCAAACTCTGGCCCACATCATGAGCTTTTTGTTGTTTGAGTCAACCTACACAAAGTAGCTTGCAGGAGTGAGATCTTAAGGAAAACCCTTCAGTGCCATGGATATATTCTTGTTTTTCTGAGACAAGATCTCTAGTTTTTGGTGTCCCAAAACTCTCTATGTAGAACAAATATCCTCCTGCCTGTGTCTTCCCCAGTGCTGAGATTAAAGGTGTATGTCACACCTAGCCAGATGTAATTTTTTTAATTGTTTAAAAATATCACTATTATCGACAGGCAGTGGTGGCACATGCCTTTAATCCCAGCACTCAGGAGGCAGAGAGGCAAGTGGATCTCTGAGTTGACACCAGCATGGTCTAGTTCTAGGACAGGCTCCAAAGCTCCATGGAGAAACCCTGTCTTGGAAAAATATATAAATCACTATCACGCCAAAGCATACCACTAAATCCCCAAAATAGCCTTCCAAGACAGGAAATTTCCCTATATATGATCTACAAACTCCATACAGATACCTCTTTACATATATACAAGTTTTATCTATAGTTTGTATCTATAACTTATATATAGTTTATGTCTGTAGCTGTCTCTATAGTACACATTAAAAGCCAAAAGCATCACCTACCTTGATTTCCAATATCAGAAACTCCTCCAGTGTCCATCTTTGTATCATCAAGAATAACAGCTTCATCAATGCCACCTTCCTCCTCTTCCTTCTCAGAATCTTCAAGGTCACCCCAGGAGTTTTCTATTCCATCTCCAATCTGAGCAGTTCCAGGAGTCCACAGCACAGGTTTAGAAACACTTAACAAGTTAAGAAAACTGAATATCCATCCAAAACACTGCTATCTCATGAGCTATTTTCTTTTAAGACTGCTTCATATATTCCACAAATTCTTAGGAATAAAAATAAAATATACTACAGATGGATAACATAATTGGACATCACCAATAATCAACCTCATAGTAATTTGGTAATGAATGATTTCAAGATAATGTAATACCATGTAAGGATCTTTGCCATGCTATCAGTATTGAAGTAGTTTCTGAAAGGGAAATGAATGCTGGAATTTTGTATTTTCTCACAGTACTGGAATGGAACCCAGTGCCTTATACACAGCTAGAAAAGTGCAATACCAATGAGCTACATCCCCCAGCTCGAAGTTGGTTCTTAAGATAGAAAAATGTATGTTTTTTAACTGAGAGAAGCTAGAAGTATGATTTCCCCCAAAACAAATTTCAATATGCACATTATAGCCTTGATAAAAACAAACAAAAAAAATGTTATACATCTTGTTGCTATAAAGAGCCACCCAATAAAGATACACTTCTGGAGGAGGTTCAGCTTCAGCAATAATTTCTTCTGCTTTCTCCTCTATGTTGGAGGTATCAACAGAGGCCTTCTCCATTTTAAATGCTGTGATCCTTTGATTTGCTATAGACTCTGCAAAGCCAAACTTTCCACCTTCTTTCCTGTAGGTGGGTTTTGGTAATGGTATTTGGAGATGACAGTAAGAAAAGAGAGAAAAAAATTACTATTTTGGCTTTGGTAGATAAGAAACAGACTTGCTTAACTTCAGTTGTTCTCATTAGCTTTAACGGTAAACTTGACACAGCCCAAAGTCACTTGAGAAAGGAGGCCCTAATCAGACCAGACTAGCCTATCTGTGGAGGAGTTAATTGTTAATTGATGAACCAAGGGCTCAGCCTTCTATGAAGGGCACCATTCCCTGGGCAGGTGGTCCTGTCCATATCAGAAATGTAGTTAAGCATGAGCCTGTGAGCCAGCAATCAGCCTTCCTCTGGTTTCTGCTGTACTCCCTCAGCTCTGAGTTAGTTCCCTGATTACAGGTATATGAACTATCAAGGAGGCCTACCTGCCTCCAGGTTCCTGGTGAATGTGATCTAGAAGTACAAGCCAAATAAATCCTTTCCTCCCTTAAGTTGCTTTTGGTGTGTGTTTTTATCACAGCACCAGAAATCAAACTAGGATATACTACCATAGTTATCAAGACAGATGTCACCATAATTACTGAACCTCTGCTGCATATGTGATAGGTACCTGAAGTACATTCCTTAAGCTTCAAGTCTGCTATCAAGACAGACGGCACCAGCCTCCACAGGACAAGTTAAGTACACTGAAGTACTAGATACTTATTGCTGGAGGTAACAAGAAGAGGAGCTATGAACCAGCCTTTTTATTCCTTCTATTAATTTGAGTTATTAGGTTCTTTTTTATAAGAACATGTTAACTTTTAAAGAAAACACTTCTATGACTTTTTAAAATAAAATCTCAACTAAGTACTAGTATATACAACTGAGATTAGCTAAGTAAAGACCAAGTATGAAACTATATGGCTGCTCTTGTGTGAAAAAGCCCTACTATATACACAACTGAGATTAACTAAGTAAAGACAAAGTATGAAATTATACCGCTGGCCTTAAAATCCCTTAGAAACACGCATTTAAAGAGCACATAGTTCTGAGAAATTAAACTTACCGAACTTTCTGGTCATTTTCCAAAGCTTTCTGTATTAGATCTGTAATTTCTGCTACTTTCACACCAGCTATTTTACTGCATCTCAAAACCTGTTTGTAAATTTGAGCTGTTAAAGACAACAAACTAAATGGCTTTTTCTAATGAAACCAAAACCATGACATGAATATTCTACCTTTACAATTTAAGCATTTCTTTTCCAAATGTGAAATTAAGGTACAGTAAGTAGCTAAGACAAAATATGAGAATCACTTATTTTGAAGGTCTAGCACATTAAAGGAACAGACTTGAGAACTTACTTATGAAACAGTTAAGCTACCAGAGATGACAAATGAAATGCTCAGGCTTCCTTTCTGTGCCAGTAATCCACAGAAACAGAAATCTATAGTGGTTGCAATCCTAGCACCATAGGTAGCAGTCACCGAGCACTCTGTGTTCCAGAGACCTATAATCTGCCTACACATTTACCCTCCAATCCCTTCTATGGTGCCAGCAATAGAATTATCCCCTAATGTACAGGAGAAGGCACAGAGACCCAGAAGTAAGTCATTTGCAGAAAGGCTATAAAGATCAATTAAAACTGGAACTAAAACTGCTCCATGCACATAGTTAATGCTCACAATGCTACATGGCACTCTGTTTTCTAATTGCCTCTGTGTGGATCTGGTATGTGGCTGGGTTTGAGTATCACTCACTGCTGGTTGTATTCACATTCCAAAACTAAAACTTAGCTTTCTCTTAGTGTATACATTTAATACTTTAAAAAGTAGTAATGAGTCTTTCTTCACTGAAGGAACTAAGGTATTCCTCCAGGCAGATCTAGAAGGACAAATACAGGGAGGGGCAAGGAAAGAAAGGATAACCATGTCTACCTGTTAGAATGTAATACCTGAACTGAAACCAGATTCTAATATGACTAGACTTACTAAAGTGCCCTGTGGCTTTTAGTTAAAAGATAACATTAAGCCAGGCAGTGGTGGCACAGGCTTTTAATCCTAGCACTGGAGGCAGAGGCAGGGGAATCTCTGTGAGTTTGAGGCCAGTCTGGTCTACAGAGTTCCAGGACAGCCAGGGTTGTTACACAGAGAAACTCTGTCTCAAAAAACAAAACAAACAAACAAACAAACAAGGATAATTCTAAAACGAAGTAACAATAAATCTTCAGAAGAGAGACCTCTTAGAGGGAAGCTAGTCAAAGCACTAACCTGGTCTTTGAGCAGCATTATCCCACCACTAGACTGAATAGTACAAATTTCTCGATGCTTATTCATGGCAATCACCAGCAAGCCATCCATTACTCGTTCTTCTCGTTCATTGGGGTCCACCAATAAGTATGTTCTGAAACAAACGTTAAATGGTCCTGAACATATCTGAAGCTGAGTGCTGTTTCTAGAGTGGGTTTGTTAAAGTTAACATCCAAAGTCAGTACTTCAGCATTGAAGGAGCTGAGTCACTAACTCAATGATTTCAATTATGTGGCCATTACAATAAAGCCACACTAGGTTCAGACTGAAATTCAAATGACATATAACCCAATACTCACACCATCTCTTTGATAAAATGATTTCTGGCTCATTAATAAAGACATAACATTAATTTGGTTCATTTCCAAGTAGCACCAAGGCCCTGTGCTCTTAAGTTCTAGAACCTGTAGATGGCACAGAAAAGGGCTGCCTGTTTCTGCAGTGTCTTCTGCTGGCAGACACACATGGGCACTGAGCTCGACTCCAACCATGGGTATAAAATACTTAGTACAAACAGAAGAATGTAAAATCTTGAATAATTTTGAAAATTCTGGTATATAATAAAATGAAATATTTTATATCTATAAGGTTAACAAAGATATAAAAAATTTAATTTGTCTTTATTTTGTTTTCATTAAGGACCCTACTATATTTCTGAGTTTTGTCTAGAGTTTGCTATGGAGCTCAGGCTGGCCTGAAAGCCACTGAGGTTTTCCTGTCTCTGCCTCCCCAATTTCTGGTTTTCACACTTGCTATGTTTCTCTTGTCTTTTAATGTGACTACTGGAAAATTTTAAGTTACTTTTATGGCATATACATTTTACTTTACTAGATAATGCTGGTCCATTTTCCTGATATTGAATTAGCTTCGATGACTAAAAAATCCTTACAAAGTCAGGAAGAAACCAACAGATGCTCTAACATTAAGGTGTATCAGAACAGAGCAATAAAGATCCTGAGCTGGAAGAGTGTTACACACAGCATTCACAAAGCCCTGAGTTCAACTCCTAGCGCCACAGAAACCAGGTATGAAAGTACATACCTGTAATGCCAACACACAGGAAGTGGTGGCTGGAGGATCAGAAGCTCACGGTCATCGTGAGATATGAGACTGTTTCAGTAAACAGAATCCAATTCCTGGGAATATTTACATTTTCAGCCCAAGACAAGGCGACACTTACCCTTGCTGGAAGAAAGCAAAACTGATACAGATGGGCATGTGGTGGATGCTCAGTGGCACAGGGTCCCGCTCTTCAGGAGTGTACTGTTTCAGAAGAAAAGGCCAAATGCTTACAGACAGCATATGAGAGAAATACAAAAGCACTTTGAGACCAAACACTAAGAAATGAATTTCTTAATTTGAGTAGCTAAATAATGTATTTTATAATTACTTACGACTTTGGCAACTGTGTCCCTATTTTATGATGACCTTCTATCCCAGATGCCTTTTTAGTAAGGTGCATGGCCACTGTTAGTTCTCAGAATAAGGATCTACCTCCATGTAAAACTAATCAGATTCTCCCCTCCACCCCTTACACTCTCCTTCCTCTGTAGAGCACTGTTCCTTCCTTTGAGTCTTCAGATTTTACTCTGGCAAACTGCCTCAAAACAGCATTATGAAAACTTGGGCATTTGATGGTTCCCTTTGCAACTCAGGGTTCAAACAGTACACTTCATTATTCTAACATGTAATATATATAAATCAAAATTGACCTACCTGGCAAAAAGAGGACAGCACAGACCACTGGTTCTCACAATGATCCCTGGACCAGCACTGGGACCGTCTGGGCACTCTGAGTTAGAGGTATAAGTTCTTAGGTCCTATCTCTATCCTCCTCTATAAGCAGAGCCTAGCAGTAAGTTGTTAATAAGCCCTCCAGGCACTTCTGATCAACTTTTGTCATATACTTGCTTAATGAACAAAAGGCCTAAAGAACACGTGTAAATCTGGTGAACCTCATTCCTTTTCAGGTACTGTTGGTCTCTCAAAAGTAAGTATCTCATGCTAATCCTAAACAGAAACTAATCATTGCCTCTAATAGTCAATCCAAAGAAAGGGTCACAGTTCTATTTCAGAAAACCAAGTTGGGTCATGGTATTATTGACAGACATTTTTGTAAGGGAACTTGAAATTTCTAGAGCAATTTTGAACATCTGCAGGTTTTGTCTTATGAACAAATACTAGGACAGATCTAACTCCCATCTGCCACATGCTTCCACTAATAACTACCTGTCTGCACATCCAGGACACCCATTTGTTCATAAATACAATTCCAGTTTGAATCCTGGAAGCTTACCAGTGTTACTTCCTCTCCTTGGACAGAGACATCCGGTCTTCGGAAGTGACACAAGGCTACGATTGCAGCAATACTGGCGGCGTCAATAATATTTCCATCATGATTTAATAAATGTAGGTCTACACGGATCTGCCAAACCTGAAAGTGAATTTAAGATAAAAATAAATCCTACCTGAACATGACCAGTGGCCACTGGAAAAGTAACACTGGACATTTTTTTAAATTAAAGCATGCAGTTTATCCAGTAAAAATGTAGTTAATTTTAAGAAAAACAAACATTTGAAATACTAATAGTTAACTTTTCTATGTGAGTCATCTGAGAACATGACAATATGTAAATAAATGGAATCATCCCAACATTTAAAACCTGTGTTTTTTAAAAAATGTTCATTTTTATTTTACATGTGTGTACATTTGCTTGTATACATGTGCCACACTCATGTCTGGTGCCCCCAAAGACCCCAAGTGTTAGATTCTCTGAAACTAGTCACAGATGGTTGTGATCTGACATGTAAGTACTAGACCTGAAGCCATATCCTCTGAAAGAGCAACCAGTGCTCTTAACCACTGAACCATCTCTCCAGTTTCCCTAATGTTTTGTCGGAATCAATAGTATCCATTGTTAAAAGTTTGGGACATATTTCCCACCTTTTCACCAGCAACAACACAGAGAGATTCAGTATCTATACACTTTGAATTTCTTAGACACCTTTCCAAGAGTCGATTCAGCTTCACCAGGAGATCGGACTGCCTTTGGAAACAAGAAGGAACTAATGTCATGAACCACAACTCTGAGCATTAACAACAGTTTACTGTGGCTAAAGGAGCTTAAGAAATCGAGATACCTGCCGGGTTCAAAAGCTGGAGCAGCCATCTGAGAAAGTTCAAGGTTAAAAAACAGAATACCTTCTGTTGCTCTATTGAGTTTTGGAGAAACAAGTTCACAGGAAACCTGTCCAAGAACTCTGCAAAAATAAAGGTACAAAGCAGTCAACTAAACATACTTCCCTTTCAATTAAAAAAAATGAAGAAATGTAAAACAGACAAAAAAAATAAATTCTACGTAACAACACAAAGTGACTTAAAGACAGGAATTACATACAGAATGTAGTAGACTGGGGCCAGCAAAGCTGCGTCCACACACAAATATGCACACACACAATAAAATGTTTGGGTCATGCAGAAAAAAAACTGATATACCTAAAAGGATAGCAGAAAGGAAATCTCTTACTTCTTACATCACACAAGAATAAAAGGGAAACTGAGACTCATTGATGATAAAATCTACACTCCTCACATTAGAATATCAGACACATGCAGGTAACAAATTCTGTGTGATCGATGTCAGCTGCCTACATGATTTATAAAGATTTATAAAGATCACAACTATGACACTCATACAGCAGAAAGCACTCGTGGTTAAAAGTGTGACCAGAAAACTAAAAAGGCTTACATTAAAGAAGAGAGATAAAAATCACTGCTTGGATTTTTGAGCTGCCCGCTAAACAACCGAGTCAGTACATAATTTTCACATCTCCTGTGGCATTTTCTAATTGTTTCGTGTTACCTTGTTTTCCCAAGTTCTACAATACAGCATCCATAATCTGTTCCGAATGAGATCCTGATGTTCCTGTAATCATAGGTCTGTCTGCCATCCAGCCGCTGTAAGCAAACATCATTTATTCCTTTAACATTTTAAGAGTAGCAACTGTGTCTGTCTGGTCGTGGGCCCCAACACCCCTGGTATTAACAAATTGTTGGTGGTTTGCAGCTCAAAGGAACTTGCCAGGATAAAATAATTGACCTGAACCTGGGGAAATGGGCAGAGTTCACACTGGGAACGACCCGAGCCCACACCACGACCACACCACAGGCCAAACTGACAATGAATCCACGGGCCACAGGAGTCCACCACGCTGGAACGCGAATCTACACCCAAAGCCACGGAGGCCTCGCACCTTCTTTTCCTCAATGGCGCGAAGCAAAAAGCGGCGTTCGCAGTTGGAGAGCGGCGTTTCCTTCATAGTGTTGGGCCACGCAGCGGAAGAAAGGTACCGAGAAAACTCTGCACGCCAGCTTCTTCCCGGCGAGGAAAATCGACGTCATCCGGGCACCGGCGCGGAGCGCGGTGTGGGCGGGGCTAGAGGTCGGGGACCGCTGCAGCGGGGAGGGGCTGTGCTGATTATTTTACCGAAGGGATGTCTGAAAGGAAGGAGATTAGCGTCTGCAGCATAGTCCTGTTCCTTTAAAAAAAAAAAAAAAAAGAGAGAGAGAGAGAGAGACAGAATCTCACTGCGTATCCCTGGCTGTCCTGGAACTCAGCAGAGATCACCTATCCCTACAAGTTGTAACAACTCTTACTTATGGGGTGGGGGTAGGAAGCAGGGATTTCCCCAGCTCTTGACTCTGGCCTTCTACCAGCTTCCAGGCTGGCCTCGATTTTGGGATTTCTCGGCACTTCACAGCAGAGACAGTCTGCAGAGGATGCTAACTTATGTCAGAGAAAGCCGGAAGGATGGCGCGGGCCGGTTGCTGGAGAATGCTAGGAAGGGCGGATGGTGAGGACTAAGGAGGCTGGGAGGATGTAGCAGGCTGAAGGTGGTTCACTTGAGGCCTGGGGATAGGAAAAGAAGTGAAGTGTAACTTTCACTCCCAGTGCACTGAAACCTCGTTTACTGCCTGTTTGTCGTTCTAAGTCTCCAGGCTTATTTTTGCCAACGCAAACGTGTTCTCCATCTGCTGGCCAGTGCCCTGGTCTACCCATATCAAGAGATGGTATTTGGCAGCTTGGGCAACAGTGAGCGGCAGTGCCCAAGTCCCCTGTTATTACTTTTTTTTTTTTTTTAAATGATAGTCCCTAAATATCATTGGTTGGCCTTGAACTAACAGATCCTCCTATCCCTACAAATCATAACAAGTCTTGCATGGACCTGGGAAGTAGTGATTTCCCCAGCTCTTAGCTGGCTACTGGCTTCCAGGCTGACCTTGATACTGGGATTCTACATCATTTTAGAGCAAACAGCACTTGGTCCAGGTCGGAGACCTTGGCCCCAAAGACTTAACTCTGACGCGTTCCAGTTATCAGGCCTGCCGTTTCTGGTCTTGTTCTCTCTGGCCTTCCTTTACCGTGCTGCCTTGCTTCCAGTCCAGGCTGCTTTTGAACTGTCCAGCTGCCTTGCCGTTCATTGTCTCAGCTTGGCCGCCAGACCGCACAGCTGCGTCAGCTATCCCAGCTGCTTTTCATGTTGTCCCCTCAGTTCACAGAACAGAAAGACAAGAAAAGAGCACTTGAGAGAAAACTTTTATTGGGTCAGATGCTCCAAAACCAGAGAAGACTGCACAGGATAGTGTCTTCCAGGCAACTCACTAAGTGATCCTGAGCCTGCATCTTTTACTCTTTTTCTGTGGGTTTTTTTTTCTTTTTTGTCAGAAACATATCAGTTTAATTGAAAATCAAAGAATTTAATGTTTTTCTACCATCATCCTGTACTGAATCGATATATCTTTGAATTATATTGTGTTAAAGTGTTTGGCTTAGGGACTGGAAAATGAGTTAGAGTTCAAAGCACTTGGTCTTTCACAGGTTCTGGGTTAACAAACCCAGCACCCGCATGAGCACTGCACCTGGAAATCCTAACCACTCTTCTAGCCTCTTAGGATGCCGTGTACAGCACACATGCATAAACACACAGACATGCACATATACACAAGTACCTTCATTTTATTAGTCTGTAAAATTACTTTTATCCCTACCATTTAAATAAGTTTCCTTATAATTTGTTATATGCTTTATTCACATGCCTAGTTTACCTACTTAGATACTTGGGGTTCCATAAAAATTTCCCAGGTAAAAAGGGTATGAGGGTGGAAAAAGCTGAAGATGCCCTAATACAGAATTCCCTGGGGTTTGCAATACACAAAATCTGGTCCCAGCTGTTCCTAACCACCATGGCTGACTCCAGGAGACTGGCAACTGGCTGTAATCAGTGTGTAGTATTTTCGGAGCGGCAGTGGAATATTCAAGAAGGCTGGGGCTGTTTGTAGAAATACAGCTGACTGACTGACAGTTCTTTTGTTGGGACAGCAGGAAGAGTCCAACTGCTGAATAGTGGGTCATATTGCCCAGCCCCAGTCTTTGCTTATTTGAAAAAATTAACATCAGAAGGAACACTTACTATAAGAATACTAATAACACTAGTAGTGATTTTCAGAGTGCCCCAGGGAGAAGCAGGCACCCTCATCTAGCTCACAGAAACTTTAGTGGTGCTGCAAGGCTTAACACTGGGCTTTGGGGGAGTTGCAATATGAAGGAGTTAAACACAGGAACTCATAATTGTCTGGGTTTAAATCACCTCTATCCTTGACTATCTGTGATTTTGGTAAAGTTACTTAGAATATTTGCTTTGTAATAGTCTGCAACCTATGAGGAACAAAGATGAGTCTGTATGTGTAGAAAGCTTAGAACAATGCCTGGGGAGAGGAAACACCAAGAAAAATCTTGCATGTTTGTAGGCAGAGTTTTCCTGTCCTGACCTCCTGTTCCAAAACACCTGGCAGCCACATCCCCAAATTACCACACAGAAGCTTAATATTACTTATAAATACTTGGCCAATAGCTCAGTCTTGTCACTAGCTAACTCTTACATTTTAAATTAACCCATATTTCTTAACTGTCCTCTGCCACATGGCTTGTGGCTTTACCTGTCCCCCAGTATGTCCTGCTTCTTCTGGGGCTCCTGGACACTCCCACTGACTCCACCCTACTTTCTCCCTGCATCCTGTTTGATAACTGGCCTATATGTTTTTTGCCAATGAGAGTAATACATATTCATACTGTACAAAAAGATTGTTCTGCACCATTTCCCTCTTTTGTCTAAAAAAGAAGGTTTTAACCTTGACATAGTAAAACTATATATAACAAAAATGGTTATCAGGTAAGAATTACAGTTACAACATCCAGTTTATTTGTATTTGGCAAAATTAGAGAAAATACTCAATTATCTATCTCTTCTTGGAGAGTCTAAAGTTTTATTTCTAATTTACTTTCTATTATAACTAAGGAGAATTATAACTATTTAGTCTTCAACTCCATCAAAGACCTGAGAAGGATGAAATGTTACCTAATGACAGGAACATCATGCTGTCTGGACAGTCACCCAAAGTTCCTCTGTAACGTTGGGACATCCAACTCTGGCCTACAGGCCTAGCATATCTGAGACTCTGTGAATCAGGGAATTCTGAAGGACTGTCTTACCTTGGCTTGGCAAATTTGGCAGTCGCCTTTCTTGTGTCCTGCTAGTCTAGTTTGGACAGTAACTGTCAGCATTTGAGGCAAGGGCAGTTTCTTTTCCCAGTGGCTAGTCTTTGCCATAAAGAAAACAAACTCTGCACGGAGTTTCTTTGATGCCCATCATCTTCTTGAACTCTCAGAGATCCTCCTGCCTCTGCCTCCCGAATGCTGGGATTAAAGGCGTGCGCCACCAACGCCTGGCCATAAACAGGCTTTTGTAGACATAATCTATTCTTTCCAGCAAGGCAACTTGGTAGTGGAAAGGGAAAACTTTTGTTTTGTTTGAGACAGGTTCATGTCATAGCTCAGGCTGATCTAAAGTTCACTGTCATCCAGGGTATAAGTAGTCCATGTTGTCAATAAGCATGACAATCCTCCTGCCTCAATCGCCCATATACTGGGATTGTAGGCATGAGACACTACACCTAGATAAGTGATTTTTTTATTAAATGTTGCTGTTATTAAACTTTAATGTCTTCCAGCTATTAGATTTCTACACATATGATAGCACTGTAGATTTTTACTATGGGGTATGGTGGTTTAAATAAGAATGGCCCCCCACAGACTCATATTTGAATGCTTAGTCACCAGGGAGTGGAACTTTTTGAAAGGATTACAAGGATTAGGAGGTGTGGCCTTGTTGAAGGAAGTGTGTCACTGGCCATGGACTTTGAGGTTTCAGAAGGCCACTATGTGTCCAGTGTCTTTGCTTATGGATCAGATTGTAAACTCTTAACTATTGCTCCATTACTACCTGCATGCCACCATGACCCCCACCAAGATGATAATGGACTAAACTTCTGAAACTGTAAGCAAGCCCTCAATTAAATGCATTCTTTTATAAGAGTTACCTTGGTTGCTGGGCAGTGGTGGTGCATGCCTTTAATCCTATCACTTAGGAGACAGAGGCAAGTGAATGGCTGTGAGTTCAAGGACAGCCTGGTCTACAAATCGAGTTCATGGACAGCCAGGGTTACACAGAGAAACCCTATCTCAAAAACAAACAAGCAAAAAACAAAAAAGAAGTTGCCTTGCTTATAGTGTCTCTTCACAGCAACAGAACAGTGACTAAGAAATGGGGTTAGCTGACTGTAATGCATATATATGTCAAGAGAGTTGCAAGGTAGGTAATTTAATGGCCTTTCTCAAAGATCATATCTTTTTTTCTCCATTTTTTATTTGAATTAGAAACAAGATTGTTTTACATGTCAATCCCAGTTCCCTCTCCCTTCCTCCTCCCCCCCAACTAATATCCTACCTATCCCATACCCTTTCTGCTCCCCAGGGAGTGTGAGGTCTTCCATAGGGGGGTGTCTTCTGAGTCTGTCATATCCTTTGGGATAAGGCCTGGGCCCACCCCCATGTGTCTAGGCTCAGGGAGTATCCCTCTATGTGGAATGGGTTTCAAAGGTCATATTCTAATCTCTGAAATGGTGAATACATCACTGAATGTGGCAAATATTTTGTAGCTATGATTAACTGGAATTTTGAGATGAGTGGGTTATCCTATGTTATCTGAGCAAGTCTATTGTAACTACAAGAGTCTTTAATGGAGGAAGGGAGGAGAAGGAGTGAGAGACTAGGGGAAGGGTACGGTGGTGATAGAATCTGAGATCAGAAAAGAAAGAAGGCACTGTCCAGCTAGCTTTGGAAATGGAAAATGCTTTCCAAACAGAAGCTTCACTTGTGGATACCATTTAGATTTTTGACCACCAGAACTCTAAAATGTTATGTTGCTGCGAACCCTTGAGTTTCTAGTAACTTGTTATAGTGATGTCTTAGTTTAGACAATATGCCATGGGCTGGGTGGCTTATAAACAATAGAAATTTATTCCTCATAGTTCTAAATGCTGGGAGGTTCAAGATCATTGCAAAGCCAACTTTGTGTTTAGTGGGGCCTTGTTTCTCACCTTGCAGACAGTGCTCATGTTGTAATGGTATAGGTGCTCTTAGATCTCTTACACGATAATCCCATTCAATAAGCCTCTTCCCTCAAGTCCCAATCATCTTCCTAAACAATCACGTGGTGGGGGATTAGGATTTCAACCCGCAAGACTTGGCAGGTGGAGGCAGGGAACAACTAATACAAATGGTTCGTCTATGGCAAGCAAGAAGCAGAAAGCTTATGTTGTTAGTATAATAGATACGTACTTAAAATGGAATGTCAGATAAACACATCATTTTGCTAGTGTGTGTCCAATCTGTCCCAAATATTTTATACAGGATTTACTTAGTTGTTGGGAGCACAGTACCAGGAATGTTAAGCATGCAGGAATAGACATAAAACCTTTTCTTCCATCCAGAAAGCTGAGAATTGGAGGTGATTAAGAGCCTGCTGATCTGTGATATCTGTTGGACCAGGCCATATCAAGCTCCTACAACCATGAGGTAGCTAGTAATCTAAATGACCTTTATAGCCAGAGGCTCCCTCCAAGCTCTCACAACCAGGACCAGAGGTGGCTGATAGCCCAGATAACCTCTATGCTATCTGTATGGCTGAGACAGGGCCAGAGCCTTCCCTAGGTCCTTAAGCTAATGGAGGTAGCCTATCTCTAGAACCCATCTTCTTGGAAGAAATGGAATGTACCACGAGTTGAGTTTCCATGTAATTATACTTCCTGTGCACAATGGATTATATTATACCAGGAAACTTTTTCCAAAGTATACTGTGTTTAAATTTATTGGGAATAAACCACCTGGCATCAGTCTCCCCAAAGTCCTGATCTAGGTGACAAAGTCAATCTAAACCAAGCTTTCATTCTCACCTCATCCAAGTTTATTTCCCTGCCTACCGTGACCACCTGCAGGGTCCCCTCACTTGGTTAAAATGTTTTACTTTATCTGAAATTCAAATGTGACTGGACATTTTGTAATTTTTTTGCTAACTCTTTAAACCTTGAACTAGTATACTATGCTTATAAATTAATTTCTGAATTAATTTTAGTTTTATGTTCATCATAATGTGTCATTCTTGTAGGATATATAATATCTGTGAAGAGCATTTACTTGGTAATTTTTTATTGCTATGGAAGATTATGTATCTAAGAGTCCTGAGTGAGAAGAAATCTTTATATTAGTAGCAATTCATTCCTTGGCACAAAAGGGAAGGCCATGTCCATTGTCTAAGAATGTTAAAGCTTGTGGGTTTTGAAATACCTAGAACAGAGCTTGCAAAACCAATGGCGTTGGGGCCCAGGCACATTATAAGTAAAGCTATTCATGTGTAGGACAATAGGATTGTGTGGGGACTGTGGTGCCCACATAGTGCATGATGGGTCTAAAGATTCAGATAATAGCAAAACAAAGGTAAGCTGCTGGTTCATTTGTCCCCCCAAACATTATCCCCATCACTTCAATCCATTCAAATAACTCAACCTGCTAGAAAAGGTTTTTTGCTCCTTTTAACTAAATTTCTGATCCCAAGATCTTCCTATTTATAAATTGCAGAACTTCTTCTGAACAGAATTCATCTTTAAAAACAAACTCCTGCCACTCTCTGCTGTGATCTTCTCTTTGGCAGCATCGGCATAGGCAGTGATCTGGGTAAAGATACAACCCCCAGATCACATTACAGACAAAACTGAATCAGAAATCCCAGAGTGGGACTCGGCAGTCTGAATGTTACAGCCCCTGCAATTGACAGAGTGTGAAGATCAGAACTTCTAGATACAGCCAGTCTCATGTAGGTCTGGGTGTCCAGTCTGCTTTAGACAAGATGATGGCGGATGTCAGCACCTCTTCCCTGCTTGTAGATTCCCAGAATTGTATGGAATCAGAAAAGCCGGATGGAATTCCTACTGTGTGGTGGGTGGGGTAATTGTAAAAAAAGAAGTGCTTTCCTTGAAGTGTTTCCAAACCTTTCTTCATTCATATTTTGTGACCTTTGGTTACAGCTTAATCTTGAAGCGTACATAACATTACAATTTTTTAAATGTTAAGAGCAATTTTAGGTCTTGACTGAAAAGTGCATTCTCTTTCTTCCCTGCCACAGCCCTTCCACATGGCCAACATCTACTCCAGTGCTGTATTGATGATCAGGAGCCAGCATTTGCTAACTGTCTCATGGCCAGCATCTCCTCCAGTGCTGTATTGATCAGGAGCCAGCATTTGCTAACTGTCACATGGTCAGCATCTCCTCTAGTGCTGTATTATTGATGAACACAAGTCAGCACTTGTTACCTGTCTTACAATATGTATGTTACAAAACATAGAGAACCTGTGATTTTCCCATTTGAAAAGCTAGTAAATTGTAGAACCAAGATCCATAACCATGCAGCTTGTTGCCAGAGACTCCATTCTTAGCTATATCTCATGCTCTATCTTAAAAACGGGGATCCAGCCAGGTGTTGGTGGCGCATGCCTTTAATCCCAGCACTCGGGATGCAGAGGCAGGCGGATCTCTGTGAGTTCGAGACCAACCTGGTCTACAAGAGCTAGTTCCAGGACAGCCTCCAAAGCCACAGAGAAACCCTGTCTTGAAAAATAAAACAAAACAAAAAAAAATGGGGATCCATTTCCTGCCAAGCATGTTATCTACACCTTTAATATCAAACCAGGTTACTTCTTATCTGTCTTGGCTAGTTTTATATCAACTTGACACAAACTAGAATCATCAGAGAGGAGGATACCTCAATTGAGAAAATGCCTAGACAAGATTCAGCTGTAGGCAAGCCTGTAGGGCATTTTCTCAGTTGGTGATTGTTAGGGAGGGCCTGTCCATGGTGGGTGGAACCATTCCTGGACTGGTGGACCTGGGTTCTATAAGAAAGCAGGGTGAACAAGCCTTGGGGAGCAAGCCAGTAAACAGTACCTCTCCATGGCTTCTGCATCAACTCCTGCTTCTGGGTTCCTGCCCTGCTTGAGTTCCTGTCCTGACTTTCTTTGATGATATGGAACTGTGATATGGAAGCATAAGCTGAATGAACTCTTTCCTCCTCAAGTTACTTTGGTCATGGTGTGCCATTACAGTAATAGTAACCTTAACTAAGACACTATCTTTTACTATGAAGATTTGATTCCTTTGCCATCTCCCAGCTAGAAAGAGAGCCAGCTGCCATCATTGGGTATTCATATTCAAGTTCTGCAGCTTTGATTTGGCCCATAACTCACATAGTAGGGCTCAGTGGTGCAGAAACATGACAAGGTTTAATTCAGCCCAGTGCATAGGCAAGAGAACTAACCTTCATTATAAGGAACAGGGAGAGTGGTCTTAAAGCTTGACTGACTCCTATAAAAGATGTTGTTACACAGTTTTGGTGACTCCATTATTCCTAACTTCTAGGGGTGCTGCACCTATATCATCCACAACCTGGTTGTACAAATTCATGATGTAACACTGACTTTATTTCACCCCCTCCAAAAGTTGTGAAGAGAGAAGCCGATGTGGGTTTGGAAGATGCAACTTCAGCAGAAGTGGGAGGCCACCAGATGATGACTTTTAGTGAAGTGTCAGTGGGAAGCCAAGGGATCGTGTGAGCACACCAAGCAAAGTAGAATTATGTTAAGATAGCATGTCAGTGGCTGTAGTCTCTAAAGGGGTTCCTGAAACTCCTACCTTTGAGTATATAGGGTCTACTATTGTTTGTTCTTCTTGAATAACTGTCTTTGCCATTCTGAGAATGCCCTTCTCAGGGGGCTGTTAGCTAAGCAGAATCCCTCCATTTTACAGACGAGCAGAGATGAACAGAAACAAAGTAGCTTTCCTAAGGACACACAGCTCAGCTATTTAAGTAATAGTCAGGATTTCAATGCAAGTTGTCTGTCTTCATGTCTGTGTTCTGAAGCCCTATCTCATGACTCTTGCTAATAGGGAGTTCTACTTCACAGGTAAGTATATATCACAAAAGGTGGTCCTGAGCCCATGGTACAGCACAAGACACAAAGTGAGGCTCATAAACATTTGTTGAATGTTTTTGACTTTGCAAAATTATAGCCTTAGGAAGTGAAACACCTGCATGTTTTGACTAAATAATTGTTTGTAATAGTTACTTTGCAGTTTTGGGTTCCCTGTATGTGGTATATCAGCTTTGCAAGTTCATTCTGTAAAATACTCTGATGTTACTTATGTTGTACTTGTGTTGTTCTTCTGTAAAAGTTTAAAAATTAGAAAAATGAAAAGAAACTGTGAGATGGAAACCAGTGCAATGGAACACAAATGATAGCGTACATTAACCATAGTTTATTCCAGGGGGGAGGGGGGAGAGCGGGAGAGATGAGAGAGAGAGAGAGAGACAGAGACAGAGAGTGAGAGAGAGACAGAGACAGAGACAGAGAGAGAGAGAGAGAGAGAGAGAGAGAGAGAGAGAGTGAAAGACCCCTGGAGGCTCAGGCCCCCAGGATCTCGGTCCAGGACCTCCACGACCCCAATCACCAGGCGGAGTCGAAAGCTTGATGCAAACAGCACGAGGCTTTATTGTAGTTGTTTAATGAGCTAAACCCATGTTAGCTAGGGCCTCTCATCCATCCACCATGGCAAATGGCTAGGAAAGACACTGCGAAGCCATGGCATAGAGATCTTATAGGGCAGTGTAAGGGGAGTGTCTAGGGGTATGCACAGGCTCAGGATTGGTGTGCCTCCAGGCTTGCCCTGTGTTGATTGGTCAACTGGTTGTTATGGTCCATAGGCCCTCCCAGGGTGATTGCTATGCTCTTTGTGTCATTGCAGTGCACTTGTCGGTAAAGCACACCCAGAGCCATAAAGCATAACACCACCAGCTAACTTCTGATTGGTTCCTTGCCACGAGGCAGGCATCTGACCTCCTAGTGACCAAGGCAAGGTCAGGCAAGCATGTGTTACTGTCATGGCTGCTGAAATGGGGAGCTGGTCCCTTCAAGAGCAAAGAGAGAGAAGGCAAGAGAGAGTAAGAGAAGAGAGTGTAAATGGGACGGGGGTCTGTGTTTTAAAGGGGTCCTTTACACCTGTGTGCAGACTTCGTTACCATAGAACCCTGGACTGACCAGGGTACTGCTTGAGTGGATTCTGCCAGGTAACAGGGTCAGGCCAGTGTAATGTCTGAACCTTTCAACTTGTACATTAGATTATCTGGAATATTTGTTTAGAATGAGCCCAGGCAGGCTTTTGATGGTCACTTCATCCAGTTCTAAAGGCAGGCAGACCATGTGTTTGGGAACCTGGTTTAGGATATTGCCTGAAAACAATGCAAGTTCTTTTTCCCTTTAGTTTACAGTTTTGACATTTCTGGATCTTTAGGAACTTGTGTTTTCCTCCAGATAAAATATGGCTTAAATGCATTAGTAATGATGTCATTAGACTTATTCTTCATAACTTTAACTTTTTCTGAAAGAAACAATATGATTGTACAGTCCTGAAGAACATTTAAATATACAACAGTCAACTGATGCCCATTTGAAGCTATAACTCCATCAAACTGTGGGGTTGATCCAACATAAAATTAGATCACTCATCTGTTAGGAGAGAAGTTCCAACAGGAAAATGTAGGTAGGACATGAGTCATAGTGTGACATTCTTCTGCCCTGTAAGCAAATCCTATTTAACTAAACCTTATGTTTAGAAGGATTTTTTGTATAAAAATGTTACATACCTAGCCCGTTGACCTGTAGACCTCTTACACATTTGACCATCTCAGGGTGATGAACTGGACTCTGGGAATAAGTCAGCCATCATTCTTGTAGAAGCCTTTGCAACTACATATGCTTCCTTCACAAGGAATTTGAGATCATTTAAAACCAGCAAGGAATTAAGCCTTGAGTGTTTCCCTTTTATTGTGTTGTTGTCAATGTTGTTGTTGTTATTGCTTGTGTTTAGGCAGTATGGTCTGACATGAAGGCTAGTATTAAAGGCTGTAAAGTATTAAAATGTGGAGTCCTCCCTTCTCAACTTTTCCTCCTATCATTACAGTTTTTAGGAGGTAAGGATTAAATTTCATAATGTCAGCTGATCAAGTTAGAAGTTCACAGCAACAACGTTTTCAAAATTATGGTGTCTTAGCTTAAAATGCTTCCACTGGCAAGTTCCAGTCAACAGCCAGAATTGGGAGCCACTGGAAAGGGTATGGCTTTGGTCACAGAACTGTGAGTTGCACCCCTCACCCTGTTCTCTTTCCTCTTCCGCTTTCAAAGAGTGGAGAGCTCTTAGCTGAATCACAGAGCAGCTACAAATGGTGGAGGCACCAGGAGAAAAGCAAAGAACAGACGAGGTATCTTAAAGCAACATTGATACCCCATGCTGGTGTCCCTGGTGTGTTTCCAGAGTTCCGGTTGACTCCTACCCCCTGGTGCTCAAGTTAATGAGAACCCAGTCTCTTACTTGATTTTTCTGTATCATTTGCCTTTGAAGATACTTCCTGTCCTTGATTCTAGGGATTTGTAGTTTCTTTTGCTTTTTCCTATCCTTTTGGCCATTCCTTTTCTGCTTCCTTTGAGGGTTTTTCTTCTCCATGAAGTGATCACAAGGCAATACACTTGGCCCCTTAGCTGAACTCTGCATGTTTCCAGATGTCCCATGGGTATTTCTTTTTTTTTTTTATTTCAAGACAGGGTTTCTCTTGTAGCTTTGGAGCCTATCCTGGCACTCACTCTGGAGACCAGGCTGGCCTCGAACTCACAGAGATCTGCCTGTCTCTGCCTCTGCCTCCTGCGTGCTAGGATTAAAGGCGTGCTCCACCAACGCCCAACAGGTATTTCTAATTCACTCTATCCACATGAACTTTGATATCTTCTCCACAAACTTGTTATTCTCTGTGTCGTCTCTGGTGAGTGGCAACACCCTCAGAAACCAGTTTTTATGGTTTAACTCTCAGTATTTCCCTCGTCACACTCTCCTCATTACCAACGATTTAAGACTAATGAAGAAATTGTTCAGAACTGAGACATTTCATACACTCAAAACCCTCACAAGCACCTCTGTACAACATACTAAATGGAAATGTTTGGTTTTATCTAGAAAGAAATGCGTGCTGGTATATTATCATTGTGTTAAATAAATGCACTGTAAGCACCGAGAAGAATTGCATATAAAATGCACACTAATGCACTAGAGTAGTGAGATTTTGAGGTATTGCATGCAATGGAGATAAAAATCGGGAAGAAACACAAGGTCTGCTTAACAACTCCTATTGGGACTTGGAGAGAACATTTGGCTCATACCTAAGTAGACTCAGCAGCCCTGGGAATTGTAGATGGATGGCTTCACTTTGTGGTTGCTTCTCTTTGTGTGGAAGAAAGGTGTGTGTGTGTGTGTGTGTGTGTGTATCCATATATGCCAGGATGCATGGATGTGTGTATGGAGACCAAAGGCAATGTTCCTCATGTGTTGTCCACCTTGAGACAGGGTCTCTTCCTGGCCTGGGATTCATCGATTAGGCTAAGCTAGGTGACTAGTGAGTTCTGGGAATTTGCCAGTCTTCAGTACCCCAGCACTGGAATCACAAGCACACCACTACACCTAACTTAAATAGGAGCTAGAGATTGAGCTAAGTCCCTTTGCTCCTAAGAGAGCACTGTACTGAGAAGTCTCTCCAGTCTCTATGGGCATGTTTTGACTGGAGACTACAGCATTGGTTAGGAAGACTTGATCCTGTCCCAAGG